CGCTATCAGGACTGCTTTGTCCAACGTTAGTTTGGTTTCAGCTACAGATGTTTATGTATTTGTGAATTTATTAGGCCACATACAATTACAAGTCTGTCTCTCAATGTTTCTGTGAGAGTAGTTCCAAAATCACAATGTGCTGACAGGCGCCGAAGCTCAACCAGGTACGCAGTGATGGTCTCTCCCGCCCACTGGTCAAGTTTGTGAAAACGGAAACGTTCTGCAATGAATAATGGTTTAGGTGCAAAATAATCGTTTAATTTACCTTTCACTTGGTCATACAACAGCGCAGAAGGCTTGTCAGGCTCACATAAATTTTTGAGCAGCTGATAGGTGGACTGTCCTACTATAGTGATACGTTGCTACACACTTATCATTATTGATATTGTTAGCTGCAACGTAAGCCTCAAATCTTTTTAGATAAGACAACCATTCTAAAGCTTCACCTGAAAAATCTTGAAGTTTTCCTATTAACGACATGTTGTGGGAACTGTATCAAACTCGTCGCCAGAAAGATGTAGCTTTTATAAAACAGATTGGACTGATATAATCTAGAACTTTTATAGAATTTTATTTTCAACAACATCAAACATGTGCATCCAAGATGGCTGTTCTATTTGAATAACGCCCTCAATATAGTAAGTTATTAACAATAGGGGGTGGCCGACCAGATTAGTATTTTATCAGAATGGTAATTATTATGTTATAAACAAATGTTCAACAACATTACAGGCGCCAAAGCATCTGTTAATTGAAAAGCACAAGGCGAATAGCAGAGCAGCGGTGAGCAACACGGTCGTAAATATGTTCAGCCCTTAGCGCAAAATGAAAGTGTAATCAACGCAGAAGTAATTGTTCTAGGGTTTTGTATTAATAGAACATAACTTTTAATAATAATTTAATAATAACTTATTAATAGTAATGTATATTTAGTATCGTGGTGAGAACCCTGATAGGTGGGAGTTCACTTTCCAAGCTCATTTGGTAACAGCAGAACAAGTTTATGAACTGGTCTCTCCAGGGTAACGTTCCGTCTTCCAACAAACACATTTACTTTTCTTACAAAACCATCGGCGCTATAATACACATTAGTAACTTTGGCAAGCTTGCATTGATTGCGTGGAGTATTTCCATCCAATTTCACTGTTTTGTTTTGGGACAGTACATTTTTGTCTTGTTTACAAAACAGACAAATACCCGCGCTTTCAACGATGCCAAAATTCATTTACTAGATGTTGCACATGTCTCCAATGCTTCCGGTAGTAAATATCAGCTTCTTGAAAGACACTTGGAGAAGGAATCGCAACTTGACGTTTCAGAGTCAATATATGGTTAGGTGTTAAGGGTTCACATGAATTTTCGCTCAAATTATCAGTAGTTAATGGTCTAGAATTCACAATGTTCGTAACTTCAGCGAGAAACGTGCGAAAATACTTATCATCGAGCTGTCCACCATGTTTATCAAGCAAAGGATGAAGAGCATTTCGCACAGTTCGTACAGTATTTGACGCTCCCATACTCCTCCCATGTGACTTGCACTGGGAACATTGAACTTAAAGGAAATGTCGCAACCCTAAAAAAAATAAATAAATAAATAAAATAAAATAAAATAGCATAAGCATACTGTATATAAATGTTGACGCACGCGTACGTGCACGTTAAGACGCTCGAACGGAAAATTGAGGTACCTGACATTCAACCTTGACCTGAAGTGTATGCCCATTAAATATGATTCAGAAATGACGAATGGTTATGATTATGGGGTCTTCAATGTTTTGAGGAAAGAAAGATAAGGGGGGTCTGAAAAAACATTTTTTTTGACCATAATGATATCAAAATGTAAGAAGAAGTCACATACGGTATATGAAAGAGAATTGTCTCAGCTATAACATACTCAAAGTTCGGATAAAGGATAAGCGAGATACGCTCAAATGCGTATTTTCAAATATGACGACATAGATAAAATTCAGTGTCTTTGAATTCAGATGGCAATATGATGATGTCACAATGTCCGATCAGCCATTATGATCTATAAAATCATATGTACAACTCATGTGCTTTCAGAATATGTAATAAAAATTGGGGATCACCTTTCATCCTAAGGATAACGGATAAAAATAAGCCTGATTTTAGCATTTCACTGTTTATCGGCACAAATGCGTGCAAACAGCCCTGTTTGATGCGCACATGCGGCATTGCTATTGACCATAAAAGGACCGAAAAGAACGGAAATTTAAGAAAACAATGCCAGGAACCCAAAATATGTAAAAAAAACGTTATTTCTAGCTTCCGTACGTGCTGCGCACATAAAAATGCGCGCGCGTAGTGGAAAATTCCAAAAAAATTTGAAATGCTCAAAATGGCCTGAAACGTGCTTTAATTTAGTCAAAAAGTGATTTTGAGCATTTTAAATTTTTGTAGCACGTGTGCGTATGCGTTATAAAGTGCACGCTAAATATTTTGGTATGTGATATTTAACCTTCAAGTTTATGCCCACTTAATATGATTTTGAAATGACAATTGGTTACGATTATATGATCGATAATGTGAAACACGTAAAATTGCGCGTCATCTTAATGTCCCTGTTGTCTCCTGATGTGAGATATATATGTATCAACTTTCATTGACAAACTCCTGTTGGTGAAGGAGTAATGATCATTCATAGTATTTATCATATATAAAAACTCAGTATTTTTACTTCAGATGGCAATATGGTGACGTCACAATGTCCGATCAGCTATTATGATATATAAAATCGTGCTTTTAAAATATGTAATAAAAATTGGGGATCACCTTTTATCCTAAGGAGCTATATTTGATTATAAATAGGCATAACTATAAGCATATGTAATTTTTTACGCACGCGTACGCGCACATTAAGACGCGCAAACAAAAAAAAAAGAAGTAAGATACCTAACATTACACCTTTACCTGAAGTATAAGCCCATTTAATATTATTCAGAAATGACAAATGGTTAAAATGATATGACGTCATCAATGTTTTGAGAAAAGAAATAATAAAAAAGAAAAATTCAGATGGCAATATGATGACGTCACAATGTCCGATGAGCTATTATGATATATAAAATCATATCTACAGCTCATGTGCTTTCAGAATATGTAATAAAAGTTAGGGGTCACCTTTCATCCTAAGGATCTATAACTGATTCAAAAAAAGACATGATATAAAGCATATATTAATTTTGACGCACGCGAACCTGAAGTTCATTCCCACTAAATATGATTCAGAAATCACGACTGATTAGGTGATTATGGGGTCATCAAAGGCTTGACGAAAGAAAGATGAGGGGGGTAAGCAAAACCCTATATTTTGACCATAATGATGTCATCAAAATGTAAAAAAATGCCACATATATGAAAGAGAATTGCCTCAGCTACATTGTAACATACTCAAAGTTGGAAGACAATCGATCAAGAATAAGCGAGATACGCTCAAATGCGCATTTGTTAAAATGTCGTCATCGATAATATTCAGTTTGTTGAATTCAGATGGCAATATGATAACGTCATAATGTCCGATCAGCTATCACAAATGCGCACAAAGGTCACTATGTTTGATGCGTGCGTACGGCATTGTTATTGGCCATAGAGTGATTAAAAAGATTGGAAACAATGTCAGGAACCCAAAATGTGACAAAAAAATTAATTTCTAGCTTCCATACGTGCTGCGCGTGTAAAAATGCACACGCGTAGTGGTAAGTTTCAAAACATTTTGAAATGCTCAAAATGGCCTGAAACGTGCTCTAATTTAATCTAAATGTGATTTCAAGCTTTTTAAAATTTTGACTATGTTAAAGCTGAGATAATTCTCCTTTATGTGACTTCGTCTTACACTTCGATGATGTCATCATGGTCAAAATAAATGTTTTTTTTCTTACCCCCCCCTCCCTCCTTATCTTTCTTTCCTTAAAACTTTGATGACCCCATAATAATCTTAACCATTCGTCATTTCTGAATCATATTAAATAGGCATACACTTTAGGTCAAGAATGAATGTCAGGTACCTTAATTTTCTGTTCACGTGTCTTAACGTGCGCGTATGCGTGCGTCAACAATTACATATATGCTTAAAATTATGCCTATTTTTATTCAGTTATAGCTTCTTAGGATGAAAGGTGACCCCTAACTTTTATTACATATTCTGAAAGCACATGAGTTGTAGATATGACTTTATAGGTCATTATGGCTGATCGGACATTGTGACGTCATCATATTGCCATCTGAATCCAAAGAAACTTAATTTTTATTTATGACATCATTATTTTTCTATTTATTTGAACGTATCTCGCTTATACTTAATAGATCGTCTTTACACCTGTGAGTATGTTATATCTGAGACAATTCTTTTTCGGAAGTGTCCCTGTATTTTTCATTTTGATGACATCATCATGGTAAAAAAGAATGAATTTTTGGAGCCCTGTTATATATCTTTCTTAAAAGATTTTTAAAAAAAAGAACACAGAGGGAGGCAGACTATATTTTGACGCTATCAGACTGATATATAGTTTATATAAAGGGAAAATTTGTGTGGCATTACCAACAGGCGGTTTTAAAAACACTTGACAAGGTTTAATTTCGTGTGCCATTACCGTCCATGCGCACATCGTGACGTTCGTTTGGTCATTTTCAGCATTCCAAAACTTTCCATAATTTACGCGCTGTACGTTCATTTCCACGCGCACAGCACGTACTGAACCTGGAAATTATGTTTTGTTACATATTTTCGGTTCCTGACACTGTGCCATTACTGTGCTCACGGGCGTCAAGATGTGCGCGTACGCATGCGTAAATCTTTTATAATGCTCAAAATTACTCTTTTTTAAAATACTAATTAGAGCATATTTTAGGATATAAAACTTTTCAATCAGCACTGCTCGCTCTTCCTGAGGGTCAAAGTACAGCGAGTCACCAAACTCGTCCTCAGTGACGAGTTCAAATCTAGTTCATGTATCTTATTACATCTTTATTTTATATTGCAGGGGTCATTACAAGCAGTATATACATGGCTTACACAATAAGCAAGTTTACTGGTGGAATTTTATCCGACAGAGTTTGTGCAAACAATATGTTTTCTTTTGGTCTACTTGGTGTTGGACTGCTTGTGTTGGCGTTTACATTTTGTACATTATGGAATCTGATGGCACTTTTGTGGTTCGTTCAGGGACTATTTCAAGGACTAGGTTGGCCGGCCTGTGGTAAACTACTAAAGAAGGTAATTGTGTAAACAATTTAAAGTTTGCATCATTCTTTTTCATTTTCGTTGGAAGTATTGTTTGCTCATTGCCAATGTCTAATACCCGATTCACACGTACAAAAATCTTACCAAATGTAACAAAATGTATTAAACCAAAAGTAACATTTTACGGCATGTGTGAAAGTACCGCCGTGTAATATCCTTGTAAAATCTTGGAACGTCTCGGTAATCTTTACCAGCCTCGCTGAGGCTGGTAAAGCTTCTGAGATGTAGCATGGATGGATCTGTGCATGCGCAGGGATTTCAACACAACAACAATCTACTGTGTTTCACGGGGTTCTTGAATTTTCTTCCTTCTGCAGACGATTCTGATCCACTAGAAATAGATAGGCCTAGTTTTTCTCAATGATGAATGAATTACCCTTGTTATTGATGTTAATTAGTAATGGTAGAAGAAGAAGGTATACATAAAACGAACATCGGGATGGTGTTAGTACTATTACTATTATTAGACTCTATTATCAAGAGTCGACAGAAACGTTGGAAGCTATGCCTAGTTTAGTAGTAGTAGTACAGCAGTTGTTAAGGGTATTGATTGCTTTGAATGTTTGCTGTGATGGTGAGTTCAACAGTCCATCTGTGACAGTGGTTCTCAACTAGGCCTAAGCTAGACCTACAGTATATCGCAGTAGGGGAAAAAATGATTCATTGAATGAACACTGAATAAATTTTACACGACTTGGCATTACCTTACAGACACGTGTGAATGCTTTTTATCTCGGTAGGAATAACTCGGGAGATCGCTCGGTTACAATTTGTTACTTTTTGTTAAATTTAACTTCACGTGTGAATCGGGTATTAGTAGAACTTTCTATGTTGTCAAAAAAATACATGTACTGTAATATTACATACATAATTAGCCTTCCCGAAGTAGCGAAGCTCTGGGGAGGCTATTGTTTTTACCCATTTTCTTCATCATGCTGTCGGTGTTGTTGTCATTGTCATCGTTGTTGGGCAAATTGTTGTTACCACGATTGAATATGCTAATTGGTCATTTGCATAATTAATATATCCCTATAGGAAATGTACAGTAAATACCATCACAATTCCCATTAAAGATTTCCTACTTACAGTAGTTGAAATTGTAATACATCATATGCCTTTACATTGCAAAAAACAGTAATTCAATTTCCAGATGAAATTAAACTAACTTTCATATTTTTTTTAAATTAATGAATTGGGTTAAATATCGGATTTGACACAAATTGCGTTTCAAACTAGTCACAATAACAGCCGATGCATGTTACCGTGCTGTGCGCGATTTTTTTTTCGTACGAAACATTTGCATGAAACTCTACTCGGGACGTCTCGCATTGATTCGGTCACGCGAGCCATACATTTTATGTATTTTTTTTATCTGTAATTATTTTTATTAACACGTACTATTGTATTTATTTATTTATTATTACATAAACAGTTAATTACTTTCGTAAATTTCTAGGGGAATATTCAACCGCAGTAGTAATGGTATAATTGTTAGCATTGTGATTGGCTATATGTTCATGTTGCAGGAGGAGGAGGAGGACGACGTTGACGGTATGTAGGTTTTGCCTTCGCGTACATTAATATATAATACATTACATTAATAATAATATTTAAAAATATGGATGCGGCAGAAAAGCGCTTCGCATGTCTTTTGGATTCCTAAAAGTGATAATGACAATATTTTAATATAAATTATGATGTTCATGACCTTCTCATCAAGTAGCCCAATACTAAAATCAAACCATTTCCTTCAATCAAAAAGTCACTTAAATCAACCCAGCCTGATCATATTCCTGGCTGAGTCTAACATTAGGAGTCGCAACAAGGCCTCGCCAACCTCGAAACCAACAGGAACAGGAGAGGGCGACCGACGAAGAGGGGGGTTTGAATTCTGAAAGACGAATCGTACCCACCTGCATGTTAAATCACGTTCGATAACAATTGTTGTTATTGTTCTTAGACTTATCATGATAGATTAATAAATAAATAATAATGAATAGAATACTAAAATATTATGGGTTATTCTATACTTTTTAGGATTACCATAACCACAACTGGCCACCGAGAGGGTGGGCAGGAGGAAGATTCCCGGGAAAGCTTACCATCGGCCCATAAAAATTGCAGGTAGCATTTTGTTTTCCATATTTTTTTTTTAAAATTAATTACTATCATGGGCCCTCAATAATGGCATGGGTCCCCTAATAATGGACCCCTCCAGATTGACAGGACCGCCTCCAAAAAATACCTCGGCGCAATATTTCTCACGTGTCGCGCTCGCAACTGGGTGCCCACACCCACCCTTGCCCCTGTTACAGTTTCCTCTCTTGGCGGCCCTGACCACTGAACTACTGTACAGACTCCCTAAAAATTTGCCACACATAGATCCATCATCCTCTCCCATCATTTCACCACACCCTGAATGCATTGATTGTTGTAATTTGATTGATAATCATACCTTTGTTTTTATATTATTTGGCATTTACAGTCAGATTTAACTAAGAAAAATTTATATAATAATACAATAATTATAATATACCGAGCACCCAGGGGCATTATTGTGAGGTGGTTTTTGAGGAGCCAGTGTTACTGGTAAATGTAGTCCACATTTTTTGTATGGCTTATAAATCACTGCAGTTAATTCCACTAGGGTAAAAAATTGATAATTAATTCAATGTTGAAAATGATGTTGCTTTCATTTCATCCGTCCATATTTACTAGAGACAATTCTAAGAAAAATTTAACGCCCTAGCATTTATTCCTAATGGCCTTTATTTCACAGACAGGATGTTAGCCCATAAATTAATTATTATTAGTCTTTTATGCATTTTAAATTATGACGTTTAATCTTTTATTGTGTTTGGTTTCATGTTTTTTAATTGTCTTTGCTAGTTACATTTATTTTATGTAAATTAAATAAGGTCCTCCATCCATGCATGGGGTGAATGGGCAGTGTGAGAAATGAATATTACATAGCCTATTAAATAGTCATAGTAAAAAAAATATGTTAAAAGTAGTTATTATCATCATTGTAATTATTTTATAAATTGCACAAGTGTTTATTAGCGTAGACCTTTGTGTGCCTCGCATGACTCGCACTGTCGGTACACGTCCCGCAAGAATTACATTCATGGCTCGCATGAATTGCATGCCTCGCTGGATGACTCGCTGGCTCGCATTTTGGCAACCCTCGATTGATTCGACTCGAGTTTGATATACGAACAAGAGCAGGCACTTCGCAATGTCGTGACGCTGGAGTATTCTATTACCTTTACTGTACTGTTCTTTATTTACCTACGGCAGACCTATAAATTCTTACCGATTTATGGGATGTAGGCTACGTCTGTAACTAACTATGTTCGTTATCAAATGTACTACAACAACAACAACAACAGCTAGTACCCCCTTCTATAGTAGTACCAGTGGTAAATAGGTACATCTATCAAGGGCTAGAGCAAAAGAGGCTAAATAATGGGCCTAGTGGAACGGCCTAGTTCCAAGCTGAGTTAGGTCCAGCCTGCTAGCGCGCCCCCCCCCCACCTTCCGCCAGACCAGGCCCCTAGGTTCCTAGGCCTAACACAATAGTCACACTTCGCATGCCATTGACTAAAATTTTTAAAAAAAATGAAAAAAACATGAAATTAAAAGGGGACAGTGAGTAAAAAAATATTAAATATAATAAATTAAATATATCACTCCGGCATTAATGAACTTGGCCTAAGCCTTAATGTATTTAATATTAAATAATAATAACAATAATAAATAATATTAATAACAATAATATTAATAACAATAATAATAATTATAAATAACCATATATAATTTCGCCATTAATTAACTTAGCCTAAGCCTTGTAATCAAGAAGCACCTACAGTATACTATATTAGGCCTATAATCCAAACTCCCTGCCTTTAATTTTAGTAATTCAGGCGGAATCAGGTCAACTCGGCCCCAAGTCAACTCGGCCCCAGTCATCTCGGCCCCAAGTCAACTCGACCCCAAGTACATATTGTTATTATTATTAGTTATTCTATATACCTTTGTATAATTTTTATTAATATCATTTTAATATTATTTTCATTAATGCAGTTTTAATTATTGTAAGTGCATGTAAATGAAATGAAATAACAAAGGCAACGATTTAAAAACACTTTAATTTCGGCTTTGCATTCAAATCTCTTGATAAATATTCAATAAATACCGTACACAGTAAATTGGGGCCGAGTTGACTACTTGGGGCCGAGTTGACATGGGGCCGAGTTGACTTGGAGCCGAGTTGACATGGGGCCGAGTTGACTTGAATCGTCATGACATACCGGTAGGTTAAATAATTATCTAAAACCGCGGCCAACTAAAAAATAAAAATGTTCAACTCAAATTCAAATAGGGCCTAACGCTTTTTATTATTTGGGCAGCGAAATCAAATAATAGGCCTACATATGTCGTTTTAAACGACCCACTATATTAGCATGGCAATGTGTTTTTTTCAAAATCAGACAGCGAGCAGCAATCCTGTATCTCAGACGTTTATCTTTGGTTGATGACCTTTTGACCTCCAGAATTGAGATTTTCGAGTCGAGCTAGTCAGTCGAGACAACCCGAATGGAGTTTCATGCAAATGTTTCGTATGGGGGAAAAAATCGCGTGGGGGAATGAGGGGGGGGGCCCGTCAGTCAAGAAGAAAATTTTGAGTTAAAGAGAGGAAAAATTGTTGAAAAATTATTATCATCATTTAGACCGGTCGTATATGAGGTGTAGGTGTCACTTTTTGCAGAATTTACCAGACCAACTTTTTCTAATGTATTTTTTGACGTAGATTACGAATCTGATTGTTGATCCGTCCGGGGAGGGGGCTTTTTCGAGATATGTGGGGTCAAAGTTCAAATTCGGCATATTTAGGTCAAAAGTGCATTATTTTACAAAAATAATGTTTTCAATGTAATTTAGGTCATAGATTCGAGAAAGAATGACAGTTG